ACGGCAGGGGGCAATAGAAGAAGGGGTAGTGAACTCAGCGGTGGAGGAACAGCATTGCTGCTGGTGGGGTTAACACGTGCATACAGCTGGGCAGCCCGTGCACTGCGCAGTCACCAGTGGGGAGCCAGCCATACCGCGTCCTGGAGTTGTGCAGTGCGCAACCTGTGCAGCTGTACCCGGTGGCCCTGCAGCGCGTCTGGACCAGCCACGGCCCCACTCTGGGCCTCGGTTTCCCCATCTGTTCCCTTCTGACTGTACAGAGCTCAGCACACAGTAGGTCCTCAGTCAGGGTCTGCCGCTGCCCTCAGCCCCTGAAGGCCAGCCCCGCAGGACTGCTGGGAGCAGAGCCCCAAGGCCTGGCTCTCTCCCTTGTTCCTGCTGAGCCCCTTCCTCGCCCCAGGCACTTCCGGACACCCCGCTTCGCTCTGAGTCAAGCTGCTCCAACTAGAACTGCCCGGGCCTTTGGATCAGGGCTTGTTTTTGAACATTTGATAGTTGTTGAGGTAGAAGCTTACAGAGCAGATTAGTCTCCCATTCAACAATTTCTCCACGGCTTGTTCCGTGACGTTGGTTGCAAACCCTTGAGTATGTCAGCACTCTCCCCCCTTGCTCACGGCTTAGTTTTAAATTAAAAAGGGAAAAAAATGCTAACAGCTGAATTTGTTTGAGACCAACGGTTGACTTCAGAATTTGGCTCAAGGACTGGGTGGGAGTGGGGTTGTCATAAACCCCCAAATAAACAGAGTCTGCTTCCCAGCCTGAGGCCCAGGTTTTCATGGGGAGGAGGTGGTGGGAGTGCATCGTCCCTCCCCCTGACTCATCCTGAGTCATCTCTTGTGGGAAGGAGGACCAGGGAACCTCCTGCCCCCACCCACCACCCACCAAGCCGCTTAAAGCAACAGGACCAGCCCCAGAGCCTCTGAAGCAGAGGCCTGAAGCCCGCAGACCTGGGCCCCCGCTGAGTGGCTCGGAGCCTCAGTTGCCTGGATTGTAAAATGGGTCACTCAGGCTGCCGTTGTGAGGCTGCTGGGGGAGTTGGTTAAGAGGCTGAACAGCAGGAGGATTTGGCTTTGTGGTGGGGTTTGTAGACCTGCTGGGTGCTGGGCCAGAGCAACGTCGTCATTCCTTCACTCAGTCACTCACTCGTTCACTCACTCTTTCATCCATTTCAGTCATCCATTCACCATTAATTCACTCACACATTCACTCATTCATTTGCTCACACATTCATTCATTCACTCACTTATTCATCCATTTCAGTCATCCATTCACTCATTAATTCACTCACACATTCACTCATTCATTCGCTCACACATTCATTCATTCACTCACTCATCCATTCACTCACTCATTCATTCACTCATTCAGCAGCCATTTTTGGAGGCTGCATGGGCGTCGTCCCGGCTGGTTACTGCTGGGGGCATGGGGTGAAGCAGACCCCTCTCTGTCCAGAGGGAGCCCTGGGCTGGGCTGTGAGGGGAGCCAGTGTGAGCTTTTCTGTTGGGGTTCTCACCCCTGGCCCCCACGCATGAGGGCCCTGCCTGGCCACTGGAGGTGGGCTGGGAGACCAGTCCGGCGTTTAGCTGCCCCCCATTTCAGGCCTTCCTCCCCTCTTTCTTATTTTCAGCTCTATCTGTATGTAATTTGCCTTTGGGGAAAAATGTACTATAAAGTCCATGAAAGAAGATGAAACAAGCCCTAATCCTCCGCCACCCCCAGGATAACCACCACCCAGTCATCTGTCTCCTGCCTGCCTCTTCCTTATGGGTATTTCACAGAGGCTTGGTTTGTTCTCTTTCTTCAATTACATATAAAGTTTAGTGTGACATATTTTAAGTGATTTCTGAAGAGACCACATTGGAAAGGAACGTGTTCCAGGCTGTCGGTTCAAACTTCAGCGAGCACTGAGCACCCAGGGTGGGAGGAGACGCGGCTTCTGCTCCTGCTGCAGGCAAATCCAGCCCCAGGTCCAGCTGAATCCCCCTGTGATGGAGAAGGGCCTAGGTTTGGGGGCTCCTCCCTGGTCCCCCGGGTCTTGTTGGGGATCAGGGCCCCCACGGGGCAGCAGGTGCTGTGGCTGGCCTCCCCCCTCTGCTGGGGTGGGTGAGAAATGAACCCAAGTTTCCAGGGCCACAGGTGGGGCAGACACATCTGGGCTAAGCCCTTGCCTCTGGGTGGCCCTGCACCCGGGGCGGGGGTGGGAGGCTTCGCTCACACAGCCTCAGCCTCTGACCCTCCAAGCACCTGCTGTGTGCCGGGGTGGTGGGGCCCAGCACTCAGAGCAGTTCGGCCCGGCGCAGATGTTAACGTGGGCTCCACACCCCAGCACCCCTGGGAGTGCAAAAGTTCTCTCTGGGAGGGTGCTCAGCACGGTGCCCGGGCTGCAGTGCACCATGGTGATGCGGTCAGCAGGGGCCCCATCTCCAGCCAGGTCCTGGCCACCCTAGGACAGGAGGCCTTTTATTCAGGCTGACCGCAGGGGGCTGGGCCCTCACGGCCAGGCCGTGAACGGGCCGGTGCTTCGCGGCCAATGGAGAGCAGACACTGCAGGATCCGGTGGGGCGGCCCCTTCCCTGTGCCCTGGTGTCCCATCTCAGGCTTAATGGACAGGGAGGGCTTTGGGGAGCCCCCGAGACAGAGGGAGTGGCACCTCACGAAGGGCATCCGGCAGCCTGCACGCAAACTCAGGTGTCTCTTCTAAGTCACTGTGTGTCTTGGGCAAGGGGAGTCTCTGCCCTAAGCCTCGGTCTCCACACCTTTAAGGAGGCACTTCCCTAGTGTAAACTATGGACTAGTTTATAACAATGTATCAATGTTGGTCCCTCCATTGTAACTCCTGTAGGGCAGGAATACAAGATGTTAACAATAGGAGGAGCAGTGTGTGTGAGTGGGAGGGGGCACATGGAAACTCTCTGTACTTTCTGCACAATTTTTCTGTACACCTACCAGGAGCCCTGGTGGCGCAGTGGTTAAAGCGCTCGGCTGCGTAACTGTAAGGTTGGTGATTTGAACCCACCAGCCACTCTTCGAAAGAAAGATGTGGCAGTCTGCTTCCGGGTAGCCTTGGAAACCCTATGGGGCAGTTGTACTCTGTCCTGTAGGGTCACTATGGGTCGGAAGCACCCCGACAGCACAGGTTTGGTTTTTGGTGACCAGCACCAGTTGCTGTTAAGTCGAGCCGGCTCACGGCTCACTGTGGCCCCGTGTGTGTCAGAGTAGAACTGTGCTCCATAGGGTTTTCAGTGGCTGATTTTTCAGAAGCAGACTACCAGGCCTTTCTTTCAAGCCACCTCTGGGTAGACTTGAACCTCCAGCTTTTTGGTGAGCAACTGAGTACGTTCACTGCTTGAACCACCCAGGGATTCCTCCATAGACCTGAATCTGCTCTAAAAAGTAAAGTGTATTTTTTAGAAAAGAAGGCAATAACCCCACCCTGGCTGCCCCCCAGGACAGGGGGCTCTAGGGGCACAGGTGGGATCTCACTCCTGCAGGGGCCCCTGCCCTGCTGCCCTGGTGGCACCGGCTCAAGTCACCCTCATCACTTCGACAAATGTGTTGAGGGTTTGGAACCAGATTTCCACTAAACCCTCATGTCTGGTCACGTCCCAACGATCATCAGGAGAAACGCCTCGTGTTGGGGGGGGTGCCCCACTGGGCAGAGAGCTCTGCAGTATGTAAGTCACATTTGCGCTCATTTCCCACGGCCCGTTTTTCAGACAAGGAGTCAAGGCCCAGAGAGGGTGAGTGATTTGCCTGAAGCCACACAGCTGGAAGGTGGTGGGGCCCAGGCGAGCTCGGGCGGGGGTGACTCCTGGCCCAGTGCTCACTAAGGGTGGGAGCCACTTACAGGCCACACCAGGCAGTCTGGGTTCCAGATAGCATCAGCCTGTCCAGGACCTGGGAGGCCTTGGCACACGCCTGTGCTGGGGGACCAAAGAGAGCGGCCTCCCGCCACTCACGTGCTCTGGGCCTGCGGTGCTGGCGGCCCCACTGCTGATGGAGCAGAAATCTGAGCCGAGAAGGTTCCGGGGAAGTTTGTGAACCTCCTGGCAAGGCCTCCTGGGGTGCAGCCAAGTCAGACGCAGATGTGGGCCCCGGCGACCCAGAAGTCAGCGGTCAGCGGGGCTCGGGGGCGGGGGCACACTGTGGTCAGGCAGAGGCAGCTGGGAAGGGAGGACCCAAGGTGCGCTCTGCCCCCTTACCCAGTCTGTGCAAGCCCTGGGGCTGGGGGCCCGGGTGAGCCTGCAGAAAGGGCCCGTTCTCTCGTGTGAGCACTGTTGTCGTTGTAGCTGAGGCTGAGTCAGCGCCGAGTTGTGGTAACAAACAGAAGAAAGCGTTGCCCGGTCCTGCCCCATCTTCCCGATCCTCGGTCTGCTCGACTTCGGTGCTGCAGCCACTGTGCGTGTTGAGTGCCTTCCACCCCAGGGGGCTCATCTTCCAGCACTATGGTGGGCAATGTTCTGTTGTGATCCATAGGGTTTTCACTGGCTGATTTTCAAAAGTAGATCACCAGGCCTTTCTTCCTAGTCTGTCTTAGTCTCCCGTCCACCAGAGGTGACCCTGCTGGTATTTCAAATACCGATGGCACAGCTTCCAGCATCACAGCAACAGGCAGCCACCACAGGATGACACACTGACAGACGGGGGTGGAGGCAAGTGCCTAGGGGCTAACCCCTTGCCAGCCCTGCTCTGTGGCCCCAGGCAGGTGTCCTAATCTCTCTGAGCCTTCCTGCTGGCCTGGCAGAGCCCAGCGAGCTGACGTGACAATGCTTTGCTCACCATCTTGGGGCAAGTGAGCCATCTTTCGCACATCTGGGTGCCCCTGCACGGCTGCGTGTGAGGGGTCCCCATGGGGGTTCAGTGTAGGCCGAGGCAGGCTCTGCACCTGGTGAGTGAGGATCTGGGGTCAGCCTCCTCCACCTGCACCTAGGGTGGGGGTTCCCCGGGGAGTGGCAGGGCCTGCACCTCGTTAACACACCTGGTTCTTCCTGCCAGCGCAGGTCTCCACCAGCTGAACAGCCCAAGGTACAAATTCAACTTCATTGCCGACGTGGTGGAGAAGATCGCGCCAGCCGTGGTCCACATCGAGCTCTTCCTGAGGTGCGTGAGGCCCCTCGCTCGCCCTTCTGTGGCATCCCTTGTCCCCAGCCTCCCTGCCATCATTGGGGCCAGACCTAGATCTATGCCAGCAGCTGGGGGTTGAAAGCAGGTGCAGAATCAGGCCGTTGTCTTAGTCATCCAGTGCTGCTGTAACAGAAATACCACAAGTGGGTGACTTGAACAAACAGAAATTTATTCCCTCACAGTCGAGGGGGCTAGAAGTCCAAATTCAGGGGGCCAGCTCCAGGGGAAGGCTTTCTCTCTCTCTGTGTCAGCTCTGGGGGAAGGTCCTTGTCATCAATCTTCCCCTGGTCTAGGAGCTTCTCAGCACAGGGACCTGGGGTCCAAAGGACACTCTCCACTCCCGGCTCTGCTTTCTTGGTGGTATGAAGGCCCCATGTCTCTCTGCTCGCTTCTCTCTTTTATATATCCAAAGAGATTGACTTATGATACATCCTAATCCTGTATGATCCTACCTCATTAACATAACTATCTCTAATCCCACCTCATTAACATCATAAAAGTTAGGATTTACAACACATAGGATAATCACATCAGAGCACAAAATGGTGGACAACCACAGAATACTAGGAATCATGGCCTAGCCAAGTTCACACACATTTTGAGGGAATACAGTTCAATCTGTGACATTCCACCCTTTGGCCCACAAAAATTCATGCCCTTACCACATAAAACACATTTACTCCATCATATTTCAAAAGCCTTAAATCAACTTCAAGTCTGAATTCCATCCTGGACCAAAATTCCTCTTCATCTGTGAAATCTAGAATACAAGTTATCTGCTTCCAAAGCACAATGGTGGAACAGGCACAAGGTAGACATTTCCATTACAAATGGGAGAAACTGGAGGGAAAGAAGAGATAACGGGCACCAAGCAAGTCAGCAGAACACATTACACTAGCCCTCAAGGCTTTGAACATAATCCTCTGTTCTCTGAGACCATTTAGGCAGTGGCCCTGCCTTCTAGACTCTGGGTGTCCACCACACTCTCCGGATTCTGGGTGGAGGCCCCTTGTCCCTGGGTGCCAGCTCTGCTCTCCAGGCCCACTGGGATGGCAACTCTGCTCCCTCTCATTTGGGCGGCCCCATTCTCCTAGTCCATCTGAGTGGCAACTCCAGCTCCTCAGCCCCAGCAGGCTCTGTTCTTCTGCCCTTTGGGCATGGCAGCACCGCCCCCTCAGCAGATCTGGCTGTATCCATCCCAGTGGCACTTGTGAAAGGCAGCCCCACACTCTGGAACTGAGTTTGTGAAGATCTGACTCTTTGTAACCTAGGAGGCTGTGGCCCACCTTTTGATACCTCAGAGGCCATGGCTCCCCTCTTTGAGACTGAGGCAGCTCAGCTTCCTGTGTTCCTTATCTCAGCTTCTGCTTCCTGGTTCCTTGGCCTCTTGGCCCCTTGGGCCCTTGGGCTGGCCTGGCGTCTGTCCTGCTGGGACAAGTGTTCCAAAGCTCTTTAGCTCCACTGATAAGTGCCTGGAAGCACCCTACTCTGCCAGTAAACCTTGGCCAGAAGCCACTCATCTCTCTTGCTCCTTGGGTCGGCAAGACTGGCTCCACCGATAGGTGCCCGGAGGCACCCTGCTCCACCAGGGAGCCTCTGCCCAAAGGCACTTGGCTCTCCTGCTCCAGTGCTGGTCGGCTCCTGCATTCTCTTGCTCTGGTTTCCTGGTTCTGATGCTGCCGTTTCTCTGCTGCCGCTTCTAGCAGTAAGTGCCATCTCCAGTGTGACAGCTCTCCTTACTTCCTGCTGCGTCTTCACCAGCATTGTCTTTGATGTCCGTAATTCCACCAACAGTCTCCTCAAGGAAATCTAGGCTTTTACTATCAGGCACCTTAAAACTCTTCCAGCCTCTATCCATTCACAGTTTCAAAACCACTTCCACGTTTAGGTATCTGTTAGAGCAGCACCCCACTCTTGGTACCAAATTCTGTCTTAGTTATCTAGTGCTGCTGTAATAGAAATACACAAGTGGATGGCTTTAACAAACAGAAGTGTATTCCCTCACAGTCTAGGAGGCTAGAAGTCCAAATTTAGGGCGCCAACTCCAGGGGAAGGCTTTCTGTCTCTGTTAGCTCTGGGGAAGGTCCTTGTCATCAATCTTCCCCTGGTCTAGGAGCTTCTTAGTGCAGGGACCCTGGGTCCAAAGGACACATTCTGCTCCTGCTTCTTCATTCTTGGTGGTATGAGGTCCCTCTCCTCTCTGCTTGCTTCTCTCTTTTATGTCTACAAAGAGATTGACTCAAGATACAACCTAACCCTGTAGATTATATCCTGCCTTATTAACATTACTGCCCCTGATCCTGCCTCATTAACATCATAAAGGTTAGGATTTACAACACATAGGATAATCATATCAGATCACAAAATGGAGGACAACCACGTAATACTGGGAATCATGGCCTAGTCAAGTTGACGTACATTTTGAGGGGACACAATTCAGTCCATGACAAGGAGGCCTCGTCCTCCTCTCCCTGCTGTCTGCGAGCCCGTGGGGCAGCCCCTTCCCCGATCTACCTTTGCCTCCTCATCTAGGAGAGTTAGAAAGCCCCCCGCCCCTCCTGGAGCTGCTGGAGCTACGCAGGTGGACAGTGAGTGGTGACGGAGGTGCTTCATCACTCCGCAGACTTTGCTGAGAGTCCAGTGTGTGCTTCTGTTCCCAAGGGCCCGTGACAAGCCACAGATACATAAATGACTCAATTCTGAAGTAAGAGCACAGTGCTGAGGGGGAGAGCCAGTGTTTTTCAGACGAGAGTGATCTGGGGGTTCAGGATTAAAGGGGGTGCCAGGGGCACAAGATTAGAGGGGGCGCCAGGGACTCAGGATTAGTGGGACTCAGGGCTCAGCCTCACTGAGAAGCCCGGCTTGCAGCAGAGACCCAGGGAGTTAGTGCGTGGACATGTTGGGGATGACCCACCTCCAGCCACAAGGCCGAAGGGTGCATGTTCCAAGGACTGGGGGCAGGGGGCAGGGACAACTTCCAACAACTGACTGGCCTCAGTCTCCTCACCTGGAACCTTCCAGGCTGTTGTGGCACCCAGAGGCGGGACCAGTGGCCTGTCGAGGCCTGTCTGCAGTTTCCCTTCTCCTCTTCCCCCGTCACACCTTCACGCCCAGCCCCCACTGTTCCTGCGGCCTGAACACTTTCTTCCCACCCCTTCACCCCGCCTGGGCCTCCACCACTGGGGGTGTCCTAGATGCTCTGCTCAGCTGGGAGACGAGACTTTGCCCAGGAGGGGCGGGACATCGACCAGGGTCAGCACTCACGATCGGCTGTGGAGGCTACTGGCTCCTGGGCTCCCGAGCTTCCTGCCTGTCTTGAGTCCCCCTTGGCCTGGCCCAAGTGCTTGCTGGAGCCCCAGCCCTGTGTGTGCTATGGGTCACCCTCACCCTGTGGCCAGTTAGGTCTGGCGGCACCTGAGGACACATGACAAGTGCACAACAGAGGACATTCTTGGTCTCCCCCAGACAGTGACCTCTGCCAGACAGGGGCTGAATCCTGTCATCGTTGAATCCCCAGAGCCCAGGGTCTGCCCCAGAGTGGTTGTTCAGTGAATGAGTGAGTAAATGAATGAGTAAGTGAATGAATGAGTGTAAATGAGTGGGTGAATGAATGAGTGAGTGAATAATGAGTGGGTGAATGAATGAGTGAATAGTGAGTGAGTGAGCAAGTGGGTGAATGAATGAGTGAGTGAATAATGAGTGAATGAGTTGTGTGAGTGAATGAGTCAGTAAATAACGAGTGGGTGAATGAGTGACTGAATAATGAGTGAGTGAATGAGTGACTGAGCAAGTGAGTAAATGAATGAGTTAGTGAATAATGAGTGAGTAAAGGAGTGAGTGAATAATGAGTGAGTAAAGGAGTGAGTGAATAATGAGTGAGTAAAGGAGTGAGTGAATAATGAGTGAGTGAGCAAGTGGGTGAATGAATAAGCGAATGAATAATGAGTGAATGAGTGAGTAATGAGTAAGTGAAGGAGTGAGTGAGTGAAGGAGTGAGTGAGTGACGGAGTGAGTGAATAATGAGTGAATGAGTGAGTGACTGAGCAAGTGGGTGAATGAATGAGTTAGTGAATAATGTGTGAGTTAATAATGAGTGAGGGAGCGAGTAAGTGAATGAGGGAGCGAGTGAGTAATGAGTGAGTGAGTGAGTGAGCGAGTGAGCGAGCCAGTAGAGGAATGAATCAGTAGGGACGCAGAACATCAAGCACTCCTGGAGGCAGCAGGGTCGTTGGTCTCAGCCCCCTAGCAAGTCTCCTTGAAGCCCATTGCTGCTTCCTCCCTTCCTCCTGGCAGGGCTGTCTGGCGCCCCCTTCACGCTCTCCTCAACCTCACAGGGACTGCCAGCTGGTTCTTGGAAGCCATGAGTCCTGCCCCAAATTGGCCAAAGTGTCCAATCTCTACATCAAATCCTGGGGTCTCTTCCCCTATCAATGTGCACCCCCCAAAAAAAACAAACCGTAGCATGGCCCCTCCCCCATCACCCTGACCTCTGCCCTGGGCTGGAGGGCAGCCGGCAGCCCCGGCGGGTGAAGCTCCGTGTGTCCTAGGTGGACCCCCCCCACAGGGATTGCAGGGTGCCAACTGTCTCTGCGAGGCCCTGGTGACAACTCCGGGGTGTCCCCGAGGCCGCCCTGCCTCCCAGGATGGAGGTCCCCACTGCCGCTATGACAGCTGAAGACACCCCGGCACAGAGGGCAGGTGGTGGCGGGGAGTCCCTGGGGCTGGCGGTCAGAGCCAGCTCCAGCCTGATTCTTAGTCCAGCAGGGGCTCCGTTGCTCCCTTGGTGGAAGCTTGTCCCATTAGAGGCCCTGTCACTTGGCGTCCCGGCCCCCCCCATCTCCCCTTCTGAAGGGCAGGGGCATGTTGAGGTCCACCATTTGAAGGTGCTTGATGAGAGGTGAAGGAGTGACTGAATGAGCGTGTCCTTGGGGACCTCTGTGTGCTCCGCGTGGGGTCAGAGCTTGGTGACGTGTATCAACACGGCTGCACTGGCCGTGCATCTGCCTCGTGCAGGCAGGGAGAGCCGGCGCCCTGGGGACTCACGGCGAGGCTCGTCAAGGACTCGAGGCTGGTGGGGGCCAGGATCAGAGGCAGCCCGCCCCCACCCTCACTACCGCCCGGCAGCCCATGGCTACCCCTCGCCCTTCTCAGTCTTTTGCTAACCTTCTCACGAACCCCTAGAAGTATTGTTATTCCCGTTTTCTAGATGGGGAAACAGCCCTGGGAAGCTTGCCGAGGCTCCCAGCCACTAGGTGCCCAGCTGAGGTTTGACCCCCGGGTCCGTCTGACCCCAGAGCAAGCCCATCTCTTTGCAACACCCCCCGCCCCCGGTCCTCTCCACAGGCCCAGACCCCGAGATGTGTCACTGAGGAAGTTACAGCCTGGCCTGGTGACACATCCTGGCCTCCATTGGCCTATGTCCGGGGAGCAGTGCCTTCCCAGAGGCCCCGGCCCCAAGCCAGCTAATGACTGCCTGCAGGCGTTGAGATGGTGCTCCAAGTGGGTGGGCAGGATCCCAGACACAGATGAGATGTCATCGAGCACAGGAGCCTCCTGCCTTTGACCCCAGACCCCTGAGCCAGGGTGAGAAGGCCAGCGGCTGCCTGCGGCCTGTCTCTGCAGACGCTAGCTGAATCCCGTATGTGCAGGCAGAGGCAGGCCCTGGGGGCTTCTGGACAAATGGGGCAGCCGCAGCCCAGGACACATGGAGCTGGGTGTGGACAGGAGTGGACAGTTACCGTGGCCACAGTGTGCAATGTGGCCACGTGGCCTGGCGCCCAGGCTCCCTGGGTTCAGCCGTGCTCTGCCCCAGGCCAGCCTGCCCATCCCAAGCCAGGGTCTCTGGCCTTCAGTTTCCCCAGCTGTGAGTGGAGACCTAAATGTGGCTGCTCTGGAGGGTGGCACAAGTGTTAATCGGCCTCGTCCCTGGCTCGGTGGCATTGCTTCTGTCCCAGGTCCTGCCAGCCCCGAGGCAGCGGTGCTCCTGTGTCCCTGGGGCTGCTGCACCCCTTGGTGCGGGAGAAGCCTCTGCCCTGTGGGGGTGTTTCTCCTTGCGCGATATGCCCCCCTTTTTCTCACTCCTCTCTGTGCCTGGTCCCAGGGACGTCCCCCCAGAAAAGGTCCTGAGCTGCGTCCAGAGTTTGACCCTCCCTCTGCTCCTCCCCTGGGGCGGGGGCTGTAATCCCTGCTCACGGGCCATGGTGAGGGTCATCTGGGCCCCCACGCCAGACTCTCTGACCACTGAGTCCTCTTTCTGCAGAGGCGGAGCTGAGGCCGGGTCACCCCGTCTCTGAGGCACCTGCCCATCCTGCATGTCCAGGCCCCTTGTGCCCTGTGCCTCTGGAAGACTACCCGGTGTGAGGTGCCAGGGCCACCAGCCCTGCCGTGATGCCACATGGGGCTGTGGGGCGGCAGGGTGGCACCGGATGCAGTTAGCGCACTTCCCACGGACCATAGCAGCCCTGCTGAGTGGGCTCTGTCACCAGGTGCTTTACCTCACGTCTGCCACCTGAGGCAGGTAGCGTTGGCCCATTTCCTAGACGAGGAGACTGAGGCTCAGGGTGGTTCAGAGACCTGCCTGAGGCCGTGCAATAGTGAGGGGCCAGGGGCCTGGAGCGAGATGACAGTCTGTCTGGCTCCAGAGTTCTGCTGTCACGGCAGGGACACCTCTGTGTTGGCACTGCTGCCCTTGCAGGTCAGATGTCCCCTTTACGGTGTGAGTAGGTCCCGGGCTCAGTGACTCAGCCGAGGTCCCGGCCGCTGCGTAGTACAGCTGGGGTGTTCACGTGTTTCGTGTGCTCCTCGCCGGCCAGCCCGCCGCGGGCGCCCGTGTCCCAGCGCTGCGCACCCTCAGCGCCCTCCTGTCTTGCCCGCAGACACCCTCTGTTTGGCCGCAATGTGCCCCTGTCCAGTGGCTCAGGCTTCATCATGTCTGAGGCGGGCTTGATTGTCACCAACGCCCACGTGGTGTCCAGCACCAACACCGTCTCTGGCCGGCAGCAGCTCAAAGTCCAGCTGCAGAACGGGGACACCTACGAGGCCACCATCAAGGACATCGACAAGAAGTCGGACATCGCCACCATCAAGATCCACCCCAAGGTGAGTGGGTGGGCATGTTCCAGACCACGGAGATGGACCTTCCCATGGGCAGCTGGAGAAGCCAAGGTGCTGTGTCCCCTGCTCTGTGCCCAGCAGAGCCACGTGGCCACCTGTCAGTCAGGAGACGAGTGGCCACAGTTGGGGGAGGATCTGGGCCACGTCACCCCCACACGGTGTTTTCTGGACATGCAGGGACACTTCCACTGGCCCCTCCGGCTGACCTGGGGAGGCAGCTGTCCCCACGGGGGTGACGGCAGATGGTTGGGGAGCATTTGGGCACCCCCACCCCATCCACCTCCACGCCAGTTCCTCCCTCTAGCTGATCAGGCAGACCGACACCGGGCAGTGATAATCCCCCCATTACTTCCTCCGGAAACTTCTAAAGGGCCTGACTGGGCCAGGCACTGTGTCTGTGCAGCTTACGATTCTCACCACAGCCTTTGAGGAGGGGTGTTGTTATCCTGGTATTTCAAATGGGAAAACTGAGGCTCAGAGAGGGCAGTGAGCCCCCAGGGAGGGTCACAGCTGGCCAGGGACGGGGCTGGGCCTGCCTGACGGCCCTGTGCCCACCCTGCTGAGTCCTAGGCCTCCTGAGCTGGCTTCTTGCTGCGTCCAATGTCGTGTTTATACTTCTCTGTGAGGGCCACAGGGAGGTGCGATGTGACGCCCAGGTTACGAGGCCCCTGAGTGGTGGGCAGGGCCTGTGCTGGATCTGCCCCCGTGTCTGGACTCAGAATTTCCCCTCCGGCCGGAAGTCTGACTTGGATGAGTCTGAATCTGGTTGCAGCTGTTGAAATGAAAGTTTACGGCAGGTGCGGTGGTGATGATTTGCGAGGAAGTTTCCTCTTGCTGGAGCGAGGGAGAGGAGACTTGGTGATTCCAAGTGATTGTCCCCACATGGACTGCTCCCCACTTTCAAGCAGTGATTAAGAGCTCAGCTGCTAATGGAAAGGTTGGCAGTTCGAATCCACCATCCCCTCCTTAGAAACCCTATGGGGCAGTTCTACTCTGTCCTACAGGGTCGCTATGAGTTGGAATCAACTCGACAGCAAAGAGTTTGGTTTTTCGTTTGGCTGAATGGGCAGTTGAAGTCCACCCATCGGAGCCTCGAATGATTACAGCCACTGAAAACCCTATGGAGCACAGTTCTACTCTGAAACAGGTGGGGTCACCAGGAGTTGGAGTCGAGTGAACGGCAACTGGGTTTTTGTTTTTTTGAGCTAATGGGCCGTCACCTCCACTTTAAAGACGGGGAAACCAAGGCAAGGATGGAGGGTGTGCTCAAGGGCAGGGGTCGGCAGACTTCCTTCTTCAGGGCCAGAGGGTAAATATTTTCGGCTGCGTGGCCTCTGCCTTGGAAGAGCAGCCACAGATATCACAGATGGGGGTGGTGTGCTTTGATAAAACTTCATCCGCAAACACAGCTAGCGGGCGGGTTTGTGGAGCCCTGCTCAAGGATGCCCCCTAGGGGCAGATCTGGACTAGACCCCCCCCCCCCCCCGCCGTGAGGTCTCTGCAGCAGAACCCGGAGGGAGCAGTGGCATCCCACCGAGGCACGGCAGGTCAGGTGATCCAGTGGCCACCTGTGGCCACAGACGCTGGGAGACTTACGGGGGCCTGAAGCCCAGTGTCCAGAGGGTCCCAGTGCCCACTGGTCAGCACCCGCTTCTCGTTCCAGGAGCAGAATCCCCTCTTAGCCCCTCAGCCCTCTTCATGGCGTTAAACCAAGCAATGGGGACAAAGTCTGGCCACGAGGTGGCCAGGTCACGTCCAGAAGTGATGTTGGAACCCCTTCCAGCTCACCTGTCCGGGGAACCAAGAAGGGGCTTCAAGATTGTTATCCCTGACTGTCTGAGTCTCCTAGGGCTGCTGTAACCAAAAACACTGCAGGTGGACAGCTTTCAGGAGCAGGAGTATATCATCTCCCTTCTGGAGGTGAGAAGTCTGGGCATCAGCTCTGGCCAGCGTCCCTCCTTGTTGGTAGCCTGGGCCTCCCATGGTCCCTTGGCTTGTGGGCGATCCTGGCATGGGGCCTGTCTTCCCTTGTGTGTTGTTGTTGTCATGTTAGGTGCCGTTGAGTCAGTTGCAACTCACAGCGACCCCGTGTACAACAGAACAAAACACTGCCCGGTCCTGCGCCATCCTCACCATCGTTGTCATGCTTTAGCCCATTGTTGCAGCCACTGTGTCAGTCCATCTCGTTGAGGATCTTCCTCTTTTTCGCTGACCCTCTACTTTACCAAGCATGATGTCCTTCTCCAGGGATTGGTCCCTCCTGATACCATGTCCCTTGGGGTATGTGTCTCCACGTCTGTTCTGCCTTTTTATAAGACAGCACTCAGAAGGGATGAGGTTTAGGGCGCCCCGCACTGGTGTGACCTCGTTATCGTAACACAAGGAAACCCCTACAATGTCTCCAAACAGGGCCACGTTCACAGGTAGAGGGTTAGAACTTCCACGAATCTCCTGGGGGACACAATTCAATCCGTGATGCTCATTCTCTGGCCAGTCCATTAGTCAGGTTTGCAGACACCCACCTGTCTGGGTCCCGGAGTCCGGGCATGTCGCCTGGTCCCCACCTGAGCCCCACGTGTCTGTTGCTGAAGCCTCGTTTGTCCCCGGCAGCTCAGGGAGCAGAACGGGGACACCGCATGTTCTTCCCACAGTCTGGGGTGCCTCCTTCAGTCTGGGGCAGTGGCTCCCATTGCTGTGTTTATAGATTGTTACCTTCCTTCTTTTATGATGGCCCCTGAAAGAGACAGCTCCTTGGTGACTTGGTGGCTTGAAGTGGTAGGGAAATGCTGGCGTGCTGAGAAGGAGCTGTGGCTGTCTGGACGGCCCGGGCGTGAAGTCACGTGGCCGTGATCTGGCACTTGCCACCTCCAATGCCTGTTTAGAAGCTGTTCATTCGGAAATCTTTACAGACGCCCGGGGAGTTGCGGCGTCGTGAGAGGCCCCAGGTACCCTTCCCTGAGGCCCCCCGCCAAGGGCAACGTCTTCAGTAACTGGTGCAACATCAAAACCGGGATGTGGCTGGTGGCGCCGCTTGGAGTGTCTCCATGGCCCCTGTGTGTGTTTCGAGGCCTTTGAACGAGGAGGCCGGTCAGACACACGGACTTTGCTGGCTCCGTGTGAAAAAAGAGTGGACTGTGCAGGGGTGAGCGGCAGATCTTGGTGCCGTCACTTGACCCTTCTGGGCCTCTCTGTGCTGGGAGATCAGGTGGGGCTGGATCAAGGGCCCCGGGGCCAGGGCTCCCAGGGCCCTAAGCTGCTCCCAGGCCCCCGTCAGCCCCTCGGTTGTGTGCAGCCGTTTGCCTGCAGGCACATTTTGGAGGAGGCGTGTGCATAGCTTTTATTGGATTTCAGGGCTCCCAGGGCCAAGGCTGTTAAGAGCCCGTGAGCTCAGTGACCCCGGGCCACACCCTTAGGCCCTCTGTGCACCTGCCCTGTGACAGATCCTGAGGGTGGTCCTGGGGCAGGCCTCCGGTCACTGGTGGAGCTGAGACCCGTCCTGGGGACTTCCACCGGGGTCTCTGCCCCACCGTGGGTCAGCAGAGGCCACCTGGCCCCACTCTGCATCAGCGGCTTTCCCTGGCACTCGCCCCTGCTGGCTTCATAGGGTGGCTCCCCCTTCCCTGGGACAGCCTGCCAGGGCCCCGGCCAGGGTCTCGCTGCCATCCAGTCCTCACCCCAGGCTGAAGGCTGGGTCCCCTCCAAGTCCTCCCTTCCTCTCCCCCAGAGAAAGCTGCCCGTCCTGCTGCTGGGCCACTCGGCAGACCTGAGGCCTGGGGAGTTCGTGGTGGCCATCGGCAGCCCCTTCGCCCTGCAGAACACAGTGACCACCGGCATTGTCAGCACAGCCCAGCGGGACGGCAAGGAGCTGGGCCTGCAGGACTCGGACATGGACTACATCCAGACGGACGCCATCATCAATGTGAGTCTCCCAGTGTCCACAGAGCCGCGGGGCGCCTGCCTGCCCTGTCCCAATCCTCCTGGCTCTGCTGACTCCTGCAGTGAGGGGCTATGCCCTGTCCCCAGACCCTGCACCCTGTCCCCCAGGCCTGCACCCTGTCCCCTGGGCCTGCACCCTGTCCCCAGATCCTACACCCTACCCCAGATGCTGCATCTGACCCCAGACCCTGCCCCCTGCCCCCAGACCCTGCACCCTGCCCCCAGACCCTGCACCCTGTCCCCTGACCCTGCACCCTGTCCCCCTGGCCTGCACCCTGTCCCCTGGGCCTGCACCCTGTCCCCAGATCCTACACCCTGCCCCCAGACCCTGCCCCCTGCCCCCTGACACTGCGCCCTGCCCCCAGACCCTGCACCCTGTCCCCTGACCCTGCACCCTGTCCCTTGACCCTGCACCTTGCCTCCAGACCCTGTGCCCTGTCCCCAGACCCTGTGTCCTGTCCTCTAGGCCTGCACACTGTCCCCCGGGCCTGCACCCTGTCCCCAGATCCTACACCCTGCCCCCAGACCCTGCCCCCTGCCCCCTGACACTGCGCCCTGCCCCCAGACCCTGCGCCCTGTCCCCTGACCCTGTGCCTTGCCCCCTGACCCTGCGCCCTGCCTCCAGACCCTGCACCCTGTCCCCTGACCCTGTGCCTTGCCCCCTGACCCTGTGCCCTGCCCCCTGACCCTCTGCTTTGTCCTCAGACCCTGTGCCGTCCCCAGACCCTGTGCCCTGTCCCCAGACCCTGCGCACTCTCCCCAGAGCCTGTCCATCCTTTGACCTGTCTGCTTGATAGAAAATTCCCTCTTTACGCGGATTGGAGACCTGACTCCTGGGGACTCCCCACATGGCTCCCGGGGCTGCCCTGAGAGTATCCATCTGCTGCCCAGACCCAGGACAGCCCTGGAGATGCCGAGGTGTGGCCACCACCTTGAGTGCCTTTTCTGAGTTCAGTCCTGTCAAGATTATTGTCATTATCACAGCAATACTTCTGGGGCGCCCTTCACCCCAGTGCCCCAGCGTGTGTATCTCAGGGTTTGTGGTGGTCTGAGCACTTGGCTGGAAACGTTAGTCTTTAAATCATGAGGCAGGCGGGACAAGAAATAGCACCCACCCCCGTACCTCCCAGCCCGCGAGTGGTGGACCCCCCAGCGTGTCTGGCATGGGCCTCTGAGGTGGGGCGGCTCAGAGCAGAGGGCCCTGGGCCACATCAGACGGATCATCTGACAAGGCTGCCCACTGAATCACTCGGCCTCAGCTTTCTTATCTGTAAAGTGGGAATGGTAATGAGGCCTTTCGATGTTAGGGGAGAAAATTCAGCAGCTCTTTGAAGCTATGTATTTCTGTAATGATTAGAATTACTGTGGAAGGAAGGAGCTTCAAGACAGAAGCTGAGGGCAGGATGGAGCCTCAGTCCCACCACTTGGCCACTTCCTCCGCCCCCCGGGGGGCATGGGCGCCAAGCACCCTCATCCTGGGAGATGATAGGAGGTTGCGAGTGGCGTTAGAATGAGGGCCCTGGAGCTGGGCAGGCAGCTTGTCACAGATCGGGTTCTTACGGCCACTTCTCACCAAACTCCTCCTTCTGCCGCCACACAGCCTCTTTGCCAGACTGCAAAAAGGAGGGGAGCAATTCATTCCTTATATTGTCATTGAGCATTGTGGGTTCCTAACCAACTTTCACAATGATCACTTTTGTGGTGGCTGGATGGATGACGGGTGGGGGTTGATGGATGTGAATGGATGGGTGTGTGGATGAATGGATGGTGGATGGATGGATGGGTGGGTGGATGGGTGGGTAGATGGGTAGGTGGCTAGCTGGCTGGATGGATGCAGATGAATGAATGATGGTGGGGTGGATAAATAGATGAGTGGGTGGATGGATGGAAGGATGATAGGATGGGTGGATAATAGATGGGTGTGGGTGGATGGATGGATGGAAGGAAAAAAGGAAGGGTGGATGGATGGATGATAGTTGTGGGGTGGATGGATGGATGAATGGAAGGAAGGGTGGATGGATGGACGATAGTTGGGGAGTGGATGGATGGATGAATGGAAGGAAGGGTGGATGGATGGATGATAGTTGAGGGGTGGATGGATGGATGAATGGAAGGAAGGGTGGATGGATGGATGATGGGGGGGTAGATAATAGGATGGATGTATGATGGATGTACAGATGGATGTGGATGGATGATGATGGGTGGGTGGATGGATGGATGGATGGAAGGATAAATGGGTGGAGGATGGATGTGTTATTGGACCACATGGCTAAGGAGTGGGTACGTAGCTTTCTTGCTCTCATTTTGCCGACAAGCTTCCTGAGGGGAGTCATGGTAACATTGGGGGAGGGGTGTATGATTTTAGTGTTTTGGTGGGACAGGGGCATCTCTGTGTTCCAGTGATCAGCACAAAGCAGGTCCCCCATGATGCTCAGAGCACCCGGCCCCCCGTCACATTACCGAGGACTCAGCGCATGTCAGGAGGGTGCTGGGCACTGGGGGGCCCCATGGCGTGTAGCTGGGAAGATGGACCTGGGGCCTGAGATGACTCGCCCAAGGTGCCAGCAAGTCTGTGCAGCCTGGGACTACTAACTCATGCTCTTCCCCTGGGAATGGACAGGAGGGCCCTCAGGGCAAGTGGACAGGGTGTTAGGTCCCCAGGAAGCCGGCAACTGAGGTCTGATGCCTGGCCCCTCGGACAGGCCTGTGAAGTGGAGCCCCCGGCCCTCCTCAGATGCACTCGGGTCCCCGTAGGATTGGCGTGGTGGCGTGACAGAGCACAACCCCTCACACTGCAGTGGCCTCAGACCAGTTTACAGGAGACCATGAACTGGCCCCACGCCTGCCTCCCAGCAGTGTGCCCTGGACCCCGTCCTCATCTCTGGGCCCTGCCCTAAAATAATAACTAGGGTGGGGGGGACACCCCTCCAGAGGGGACTGCACACAGTAGAGCGTGGCCACGGTTCTTGTCATGGGTTAGCTCATTTGTGTGTCCGTGCTCCTGACTTGCTGAGCCCTGTCTTGAGTCGTCACGCGGCTAACGTGCATTTCCCCTCTTGCAGTACGGGAACTCTGGGGGACCGCTGGTGAACCTGGTAAGTACTCACAGGGGCTGGTGCTTCTGGCTTCCTGGGGCTCTGCTCACCTGGGACTGGGACAGGTCTGGGGACCCAGCACATGGCCTCCAAACCTTCTCAACAATCAGAAGGTGGCTGGGCTGGAGGCTGGGGAGAAGGACCTGACACAGGCGCATGCTGCCTGGTGTACCGCAGGGGTGTTGGTGGCGGTAGAGGAATAAGGGAACAGTGAACACACAGCCACAGGGGCCACACACCCACTGGGGGGTTGGAGCAAGGAGACACGGGAGCGCCCCTTGATGGGGGATCTGGATCCAGCCACTCTCTCTGTTCCCCACCCTGTCCTCACGTTCAGATGTTAAATGAGATCTGTCCCGTTTCTTCTACCCCATCAGAGCACCCCTCCCCGGTTCTGTTCTGGGCCCCAAAGTCAGGCTCATTGGCCCCCCAGGTGAGCTGTTCCTGGAATAAGTCAGGAAGTTCCTCAGAGCCCCTGGGACCTGGGGCACCAAGGGGTCAGTTGCAGCCCCTGCCTCAGGTACCTCTAGCCTTTGGGGATGGACTCCAGGGCCATGTGGGGAGGACGGAGGTCATTCTGGAGGGATGATGGCAGGAAGGGTTCACTGCCGGCATGGGATCGGGGGGCTTCCTGGTGGAGGGGGCATTTAAGCTGGTTGTTGGGAGGGAGGAGGGTATGGGAAGGTGGGGACATAGAGAGGAAGTAGTCCAGGAAAATGGTGTGACCAAGCTCAGGGGTGGAGGCACAGGTCGGGGGTGGGTGTGGGAGGGGCCAAGGCTGTCAAAGGGCTGTGGCCAGGGATGGAACGTCACCTAGCATCTCCCACAGCAGAGGGCAGCGCCTGCCTGCGGGGGAGGAGCTCACGTGGGTGGGTGGAGTGCAGGCGGGAAGCCAGCAGGCTGGAGGAGGAGGCCGCTATAAGTCATCCAGGCAGCAGGGATGGGCAAAACAGAGGGTCAAGGTGGACACAGAGTCTTGAGCTCCTTGGTCCTCTGTTCAGCCGGCTTCTCCCCAACCTGAGCTTCCTGGACCAGGCAGGGACCACGTGGGGACAGGCACTCAGGACTAGGCGGACAGAGGGTGTCATGGCCTGCAGCTCTGCCCCAGACCCCGCAGGGGCCCTGGTGAGCTGGCAGGCCCCGTCCAGGGCCCCCTTGGCCTGGCCTGGTGGTGGTGCAGATTTCGCTCGTCCTGTGGCCAAAAGGCAGGTCCAGGAGGCACGTTCCAGGCTGTGGGAAGGAGCTGGTTCTGGAGCCTGAGTGGAGCCCCTGCCGACCTCCACTCCTCGGTGCTCAGTGTGGGGTGCAGGGTGGGGGTGAGATTCTGTGGAGCTGTGCTGGCCTCACTCACCCCCCACTCCAGCTTCTAGAAGGAGGAGCTAGACAAGGCCTTGCTCTCTCTCGGGCTCTAGTGACTAGGATCTTGGCCCAGGGCTGCCCTCGGTCAGTGGGCACTGCTTCTCAGGGCTGGGTGGCCACAGCCTGGGAGGAAGGCTAGAGCTTCAAGCTTCCCCAGTGACACTCTCCAGGAGTCTGGAGTTTGGAGGCAAAGTGGCAGGAAGGTGGGGGTCATTGGCCTGTGGGCAGACTCAGAGCGGCCTGTCCGGGGCACCTGGGTGGCTCCACGACCTTCTCAGGTGGGAGCATTGCGGCGAGGGCCAGCTCCATGAAACGAAGTTGGGATGTCTGCTCTGGAGCCGAAGGCTGCAGGTGCCCAGGCTCCCTGAGTGACTGCCACCTGGTCTCTCTGCCCAGGACGGTGAGGTCATCGGCATCAACACGCTCAAGGTCGCGGCCGGCATCTCCTTCGCCATCCCCTCGGACCGCATCACACGCTTCCTCACCGAGTTCCAAGACAAGCACATCAAAGGTAAAGGGCTCACCTGGGTAAAGCTCTCCTGGAGCTGAGGCTCCCTACAACCTCCCAGGTCTGGGGCTGGGGTGGGGAGCAGATCTGAGAGCCCAGCTGGGGCCTGGTCACCCCAGGTGGCTCCAGATGACCCCATTGCCCATCCTTAGGTGCCGTGTGAACCCACTCACTCCTGAACTGGGGCCCTCCATCCACCTTGAATCCCCGAGACCCCAGGACCACTCATCTTTAGCCTCTCTTGGGGGTCTTTCTCCCTGCCTCTGCTCATTTCATGGCCATGCTTACTCCATGCCCCTCCAGACCATCCATCCTCCTGGCTGAGGGTCTCCAGACACAGCTGGCGCCATCAGCTGCCTGGACTCCCCGAGTCCCTTTGTCTGGGCTGCTCCTTCCTTCATCTATCAGAACCTGATGCTTCCTTCTTTCATCCGTCCTTCTATCCATTCATCCATCCATCCACCCTCCCACCCATCCATCCATCCATTCACCGACCATCCAGCCATCCACTCACCCTCCATCCATCCATCCATCCATCCATCATTTATCCATCCATTCATCCATCCATCCCTCCATCCCTCCATCCATCCATCCACCCCCCCACCCCCCCACCCCCCACCCATCTATCCATCCACCCATCCATCCATCCATCATCCATCCATCCGTCTGCCATCTCGAAGTGCTTTCAGCATGTGGGCTTCACAGACCACGGTGAGGTAGCCTCTACTGCAAGGCCCAGAGCCCAAGCCCCTGATCCTTGTAAGTCACCCTCCTCTCAGACTCCATCTCCTCACCTCCGCCCCAACAGAAATGGCCAGCCCACCCTGCCCACGTCTAGATAGTTATGAGCTCCCAAGGAAGGTCCAGAGAGGACTTGACAAGGCACAGGTGACTCTCCAAGTGAGGGCTTTGGCAGGGGTCTTCTTAAAGTCTGTGGTCGCAGCCACTTTCCTGAGGAGGACCAAGCTGCCCTTGATATCAAGACCCTTCCTGGCGGTTCCACTTTCGACACCACTCTTTTCAACCCTGTCTCCTACCCAAGCGAACTTCTTGCTCCTGCCATTTTGTCTGCCATGCCCACTTCCTGGTCAAGTCCTAGACCTGATACTGTCATCTTCCAGTTGCTTCCCTGCCTCCATCGGCTCCTCACCACAGTTAATTGAGTGCAAGGGGCTTCCTCATACTTGCCCTGTCTCAACAACTCTGCCAGTCACGTTCAGGCCATGAGGACCAGTGACATGAAGAGCTGCTGTGAGGACTGCCTGGTTCTGTTCATCAGTGTGTCTTGTGGGAAGATAATCTGTGGCCAGGCACAGCCTCTCTTGCCTGGAAAAGCTGAAGGCTTTCTTTACCAGGTGTTGGGGCCTGTCTAATCACTTGAGCTCTCTTCCCCTTGGCTTCAGGGAAGCTCAGGACTAGCCCCCAGCTGCCCCTTGGTACCCTTCGTAGCTGTGGTCTATCTGCAGTTCTGCTGTGCTCGGTTCCCCCCTTCCTGTCTATAATAACTGAGACGTTCGAGTTGCATTCTCCTTTGCTCCGTGGGTCCCTTTTCTGGGCAGCGGTGGGGCTACACGTTGCACAAATGGGGTGCGTGAGGTTATGATTTCTTTGGAAATGGGCTGAACAGCTTCCTCTTCCTTCTGCCTTTCTTCCTCTCCTCCCTTGGACAAGAACCCCTCTGGGTTGGGGGGTTTGCTCTTTGTGGCACAGGGATTGCTCCAGCAGAGCTGACATCCCCCCCACCCGACCCCCTGGGAAATGCTCATACCCTATCCCCAGAGTTGTGCTTCTTTGAACCCAGTCACTTCCTCTGGGGATGTGCAGACTAACCAAAGAGTTTGGTAAATCTTAGCAGAGTGACCAAATCATAACTTAAGGATCCTTCTAAAGCTGACCGGGGGTGGTTTTGCTTTTTTTTTTTTTTTAAATAAAAATATCAAATGATACAAGCCCAGTTAATCTAAAGTTCTTTTATATGTATAAAAAAGTTTTTCATTACATCAAGGTGGCCTGATGGTGCACTTATTGTTCTCATCTCGAGGGGTTGGGGACAGACCTGGAGAGGCCAGTGAGGCAGGGCGCTGCTCAGGACGGGGTGAGCAGGAGAATGCTCTGTGGAGGTGGCATTTGGGCAGGGACCCGATGAAGGGATACGGTGCAGGCTCAGTGGAATCAGGAAGCCTGAGGCAGGCCGCGGGAGTGGAAGTGCACATGGGCTAGCGTGGAGTGCATGCTGGGCAGGTTTGGGATTAGTGAGGAGCCGGGGTGGGTGGGAGAGGGGGTCGGCCGGCCAGCCATGCAGCACCATGCTTGGATGCTGTATTCTCCTCTAAGCGTGCGGGCCATCGGGAGGGTAGACAGTGGCTGCTGGGCAGGGAGTAAAAAGCGGGGAACAAGAGTGGGTGCTGGAGACCGTGAGGAGGTCTTGGCTGCCTTCCAGGTGGCCTGGCCTGAGTGGTGATGGCAGAAGGGTGACAGTGGCCTTGTCCAGGGTCCACCGTGGATGTCGAGCCAACAGGATTTGCTGAGGAGGGATATGGAATTTGAAGGGGAGAGGAGTAGGGGGCGGCTCCAAGGCCTGAGCATGGGGGGCTGGGGTGCCATTTGCTAAGATGGGGGCAGTCACCAGGGCAAGGCTGCAGCGGCCATTAGCTGTGATGCACGTGAAACCCTGGCATGGAGCTGGCACGCGACCCATAACTCTCACTTTGGTTTTGCTGTGGTTGTTCTCAGTACACTTTGTTTTTAGAGCAGTTTTAGGTCTACAGAGAAACTGTGCTGAAAGTACAGAGAGCTCCATATCCCCCTCCCTGCTGCACAGTTTCCGCTTTTATTCATGTGTTGCATTCCTGTGCTACATCTGTTGCCATCGATGGGCCAGACTGATACATTGTTATTAGCTAGAGTCCACAGTTGACATCAGCGCTCACTCTCTGTGTTTGTTGTACAGATCTGTGCGCTTCGATAAATTCATCATGTCCTCTCTCCACCATGACAGCATCACACAGAAGTTTCCCTGCCCTAAAAATGCCCTGTGCTCCCCTGTTCATCCCTCCCCCTCCCCCGGGGCCCCTGGCGACCCCTGATCTTTTACCATCTCCATGTTGGTGTTGTTGTTGTTAGGTGCCGTCGAGTCAGTTCGGCCTCACAGTGACCTGATGTACAACAGAACAAAACGAAACGAATCACCGCCCGGTCCTGCGCCATCCTCACAATCATTGCTGTGTTTGAGCCCCTTGTTGCAGCCACTGTGTCAGTCCATCTTATTGAGGGTCTTCCTCTTTTTTGCTGACCCTCTACCTTACCAAGCATGATGTCCTTCTCCAGGGACTGGTCCCTCCTGATAACATGTCCAAAGTACGTGAAACTAAGTCTTGACATCCTTGCTTCTAAGGAGTGTTCTGGCTGTACTTCCGAGAAAGATCTGTTCTTTCTTCTGGCAGTCCATGGTATAGGCATATATACAGCTTTCACATGTATATGAGGTGACTGAAAATATCATGGCTTGGGTCAGACGCACCTTAGACCTCAAAGTGACATCTTTGCTTTTTAACCCTTTAAAGAGATCTTTTGCAGCAGATTTGCCCAATGCACTATGTCATTGGATTTCTTGACTGATGTTTCCATGGGCTTGGATTGTGGATCCAAGTACAGTGAAATCCTTGACAACGTCAATATTTTCTCCATTTATTATGATGTTGCTTATTGGTCCAGTTGTGAGGATTTTTGTTTTCTTTATGTTGAGGTGTAATCCATACTGAAGGCTGTGGTCTTTGATCTTCAGCATTAAGTGCTTCAAGTCCTCTGCACTTTCTGCATATCATAGGTTGTTAATGAGTCTTCCTCCAATCCTGTTGCCACATTCTTCATATAGTCCAGTTTCTCAGATTATTTGCTCAGCATAAAGATTGAATAAGTACGGTGAAAGGATACAACCCTGATGCACACTTTTCCTGACTTTAAACCACAAATTATTCCCTTTTGGTGTATGTACAGGTTCCTCATGAGCACAATTAAGTGTTCTGGTATTCCCATTCTTCACAATGTTATCCATAATTTGTTATGAGCCACACCGGCCCTTGCATAGTCAATAAAACACAGGCAGATGTCTTTCTGGTACTGTCTGCTTTCAGCCAGGATCCATCTGACATCAGCAACGATATCCCTCGTTCCATGTCCTCTTCTGAATCCAGCTTGAATTTCTGGCAGTTCCCTGTCGATGTACTGCCATGACCACTTGAATGATTTTCAGTATAATTTTTATTTGTGTAGTCTGATATTAATGATATTATTCGATAATTTCTGCATTCCATTGGATCGCCTTTCTTTGGAATGGGCAAATACGGATCTCTTCCAGTTGGTTGGCCAGGCAGCTGTCCTCCACATTTCCTGGCATAGACGAGTGAGCACAGTTCCAGGGCTGCATCTGTTTGTTAAAACATCTCAGCTGGTATTCCATCAATTCCTGGAGCCTTGTTTTTCGCCAATGCCTTCCATGCAGCTTGGACTTCTTCTTTCAGTACCATTGGTTCTCCTAGATCCTCTGCATTTCTAGATGAATTTTAGAATCAACTTGTCAATTTCTACAAAAGCCTGCTAGTTTCTTGATCATCATTGCATGAAATCTGTAGATCAATTTGGGGAGAATTCACTTTTTAACAATATGGAATCCTCTGACCCATATATACTTGACACTTGTCCGTTTATTTAGGTCTTACATGTCTTCTGTCAGACTTGTTTCTATTTCATATTTTTCATATTATTGCAAGTGGTGTTTTCTTTTTAGTTTCAATATCCGATTGTTTGTTACTAGAATATACGAATAAAGTTCATTTTGTGCATTGATCCTGTGTCCCGCAGCCTTGCTAACTCAGTTAACAGTTCTAGTGGTTTTGTAGATTTCATCAGGTTTTCTACACACTCAGTTTTGTAGTCTGCAAATAAATGCATTTTTTATTTCTTTCTTTCAAATCTAAATGCCCCCCCTCCCCTTTTTCTTCCTT